CAACAATCTAGAAAATACAAACAAAACCACTAAGAAATTATGGCAAAAAAAATTGAAAATTGGAAAAGAAAATTGGAAGATGACCCAAGTGAAATTTTACCCACTAAGCAAATTCGTCCTCCTCGCTCATCGTTTTCCCAGCCTGCAAATTGGTGATGTCGGATAACTTCTTCCTCATTATGCCACCCAAAGACAATCTCTTGGCCATTCTAACAAGTGACTTTGGATATGACGAGATTGTCGGAGATGAAACATGTGCCGTCGAAAATCGAGGTCGAGGAGGACGGAGTCCAAATGGAGGGCAAGATCAATGAGCTTAGTCTGATCGGTGAATCGGATGATGGAGCTCGTGGTTATCTGATTGAGGTTTGAATACGAGGGCTCTTCACGATTCTGAGTTTGAGGCGATGAGAGAGATAGGACAACAGCAGAAAACAGGGAGACAAAGAGAGCAACGAGGAGGAGAGGACTAGGATGAAGCGGTCTTAGCTAGTCCCATGCTTATCGAGGGCTCTCGCTAAGACCAGTTAGTGAGGTCTTTAGGCAAGGCTAGTCCTTCCTAGTCTCATTAAGCTTAATCCCACAAGGTAACAAACACAGGTTTCACTAATATTTAAGCCAGTTCAAGCTAGTGAATGTTAGTGAGGGCAAACAAACGCCCCCTAAATAAACTAACAACGTTTAAAAAAACTAGAGACGGAAAAGTTCTTGTCTGTTCTAAATTTTGAGTTCAACCGTGTAATAATAATTAGACTGAAATAATTTAAATCAAACAAGACAAATAACATGAAACTTGGTGAAAAAAGAGAGAATTTTCATGTTTTCAAAATACGAACTGATATATCACATGTTATAATATAATTTGAGATAAAAAAATTTAAATATTCGTTCCATTATATTATAATATCAATCCATATTTGAAGTACAATGAAAGTTCTAGAATCCAAAATCCATTCACGTGGAAAACCTTGGAGAAAGATTCTTCTCTCATTAATGATTTCATGCTTTCTCGTCGTACAATTATTGTTCTCTCTCTCTCTCTCTCTCTCTCTCTCTCTCTCTCTCTCTCTCTCTCTCTCTCTCTCTCTCTCTCTCTCAATAATCAACACTCCACCCATATCCAACGGTCTATCTCATTAGGGTGATTCTCGAAAGATCATCCACTTGAATCATATTTCATCCACTTGAATCATATTTTGTAGACCATATGATATATTTTTATTCTGCCATTTAGTACTACAATCTAGTGGCATCACTTGTAAATGAAAGGTATTAGGTTCGATTATCATCATGTGAGAATTAGAATCACATTATTGTTAGCCCATTGTGAGGCTAAACCACAGTTGATCGCTTGAAGGCCCTAAGCCCAACAAAGGGAAGCACAAGTACACGACGTCATTAATCGTCACAGTTTAAAGTGCGGCGACCCTTAGGGCACTACGTTTGATATGGGCATTGGAAGAGGGCACAAATTTGAATCTTCTCCGTCTCCAATTCCAAGTTTCCAACTCAGGTACGCAGCTCCAACATTTCTTTTAATTAGAGCACGAATAAAGAGAGATAATTTTGTACAATGCCACCTGAAAATATTATTCTTGTGATTCAATCGTATGCTTGTATAGATCTGTCAATTCCCTTCCTCAAAACTTGTATAGAGCTGTCAATTTCCTCTCCGAACTTTAATTTTAGTCAATTACCCCCTGAACTTTTATAATTAGCTAACTTCCCCATTGAACTTTAATTTTAGCTAATTACCCTCATGAACCTTTATAAATAGCCAATTTCCCCCATGATGCTAAATTTAAAAAAAAAACCATCCAATCTGCCATCCATTTTGATCATGTGGTGGAGGGCAAAAAGAATGGAAAAGTGGATGGATGAAAATTGGATGAAAATTTTAAAAAATCTGACTTTATGGGGGAAATTGGCTATTTATAAAATTTTAAGGGGGTAATCGGCTAAATTTAAAGCTCATGGAAAAATTGGCTAAGTATAAAAGTTCAGAGGGGTAATTGGCTAAAATTAAAGTTCATGGAGAAATTGGCAGCTATATACAAGTTCAGAGGTCAAATCAACAAATACCTCTTTGAAGTTATACATAGTGATCACTTCTTTGCAAGTACATATATATGAGTGAAAAGCCCTATGTAGTGAAAAATGATCTATGAATTTATATATATGGATGTTGAAGGTTCTAGTCCTAACATACCCACTACCTAAAAGAGGAAATGGAAAGCAAGTTGTTGATGCACAAAATTGGGTAGATTTTGAAACATCTTAAAATGTCAAGTTTGTGGCCTTTGCAAAGTTGATCTGGTCACCTCGTAAGGATAATATGTAAAGAGATAAGTGATAGAGAAACAAACACAAAATGTATGTGGTTCACCTTAAGCTACGTTCGGGTAGAGGAGTTTTCATTAATAGGTTTACCCAATACATAGGTTCAAACATAATAATTATTAGTGAGTTCTAGTGAAGAGTTTACACAATGTACTTCTTTAGTTCACCCTAACTTTGGCTCGTCATTAGAACTCACTAATGACGAGTTTAAGTACAATAATGACATTAGGAATTAATTGTAGGAGAATGATCTCCTTTTATATTTGAGGAGAGTCTCTAGCTTTCGTTCGCGGTTGATGTAGGACTCTAGAAGCTTTATTCTGATATTGACATGTGTCGTGTTGTGATTGATCTCTTGATTGGAAATGAACTCATGTGCTTTGGCAGGGACGCCTCAACATGAACCCTTCAATGGGTCCCTAAAGGTATGAAGTTGACCGGTGCTCAGTAGTTCAAGATTGGTGAAGTATGGTATAAACAATACTCTCCAAGTTCCTGAGTGAGGAAAGTTTCTCGGTTGGGAACTTGAAAAATCCAAGTCACCAAGTAATCACGAAACTTCCAAATGCCGAAGTGTAGTAGTTTGTAACGGGAGTCCTCCCAAGTCTCCGAGCAAGGAGAGTTGTTGAAGGATGTGTTTTAATCTTTGTCGAGTCATTATGAGAACAAAACAATGTAACTCTCATTTTATACATTGAAACTAGATCGATACCAGTGTGGACGTAGCCTCAACTTAGGGTGAACCACGATACATTGTTGTGTGTTGTGCGTATGTGTGATTTACGGTCGGATTTACATTTGCCCATTGTCATTATATTAAGGGTATATTTGTTATTTTATTCTCATTTAACATATATTTTTTACAAAATGATGGACAAACTCCGAAATCACTTATATTGGTTTCAAATCTCAGAGACTAAAGTAAAAAGTTATTCCCAAACTATTTTTGCTAAAAAGCCTAAATGATAATAAGATATGTTATGAAAGTTTTAAACGAGAATACTAAAATAAGAGTGATGATGTAAAATATTGAAATACGTGGTATCGCATTATTTGTTTGGAATACCATTAGGGGGCGTTTGTTGCGTCGGACTATCTCGGACTGGACTAGCTTTAAGGACTAGACTAGACTGGCTTAGACTATATTAAGCTGAACTAATTTAGTGAAGCGTTTGGAATAATGTCAGACTAAGAAACTAGACTAACAACAAATTATTATTATATTTCAATTTATTTTCTATCAAAATATTAAAATGAATATATGGAAAAATAAAAAGGCATGGCCATCTGCTTCTTCTTCCTCACGAATTGCCGGTGCTCCTCTGCAACTTGGAGAATTATCGAATTTTCAATAACAAAATTAACCCCCAATCAAAGCCCATAAAGCAGAGATCCAAATTTCCAATAACAAAGAGAAAATTTTGATTATTACAAAAAAAAAATTACCCTAAAAAGACCCAATTAATTGCTGGTGCCCTCTCCAAGCTCAGGGGTTGTTGAATATGATCTGAAACCCATATCCATATTCCAATCTTGTCAGCAATTTAAAAAATGAGACGGAGAAGATGCTCGACCGCAAATCCACGTCGGACTTAACCAAAATCAAGGCCTCCAACAATTAATTTCAAGCTAAATCGGTAATTTTGAATTAAAAACCTTTGTAGGTTCAGGTCGTTTTGGGCCGTTTCAATTTGCAGAGGTTCATATCATCTGTGAAGAATAGTGGGACAAAGGAGGTGCAATCAGAGTTTCAGAGAGAGAGGTTAATTTCCGCGACTAAGGGCAAGCATATAAGAGCGAGTAGATGCAGATGAGGGAAGACACATAGATGAGGGTGAGGAGGACGATGATGAGGGAGCAGAGCAAGGAGGGAGCGATGTGCGACGAGTAGGACGAGTGACTCTCTCGCGGTTTTCTCTCTACCAGAAGGGCTTATGAGTCCGGTTGAAATTGAGGATCTTCGTTAAGAACTCATAGCGAGGTGTATAATCCGAGCGAGTCCGACCTAAGCTCACTAAACCTAATCCTTGTCTAGACTAAACAAGGGATTACAGTCTAGTCTAGTCTAATCCCCCCTAATCAGGTCAAACAAACACCCCCTAACAACATTGGGTTTTTAAGGGAATCCAAATCCTCTTTGTGAGGATCCGTTAATCGTACATCGGTTATAAATCATTTTAAATATTTCTATTTAAAATTAAATACAACATCACTTGACAAAAACTAATTGCACGATGTACAATAAACGAACACGATTTACGGATCCAGGATCGTCACCAAAAGGATCCAGAGACGATCTTGTCGGTTTTTTAGGAAAGAGGATCCTATCCGGGTCTACTTTATGAGGATCTTAGAGATTCTCATATTTTAGCCGTTCATTATACATCATGTGACCAATTTTCGTAAGATACTATTTGTGTGTAATTTTAAATAAAAAAGTCAAATAATTTATGATTACACTATACATAATAAATTACTAAAATATGAGAATCCTAAATGTGAGGAGTATCTCTAGAATCCTTATAAAGTGGATCCGGATTCAATTCCGTTTATGAGGACCACTCAGTTAAAACACAAAATGATATCATTGGTCCAGACCCGAGTGGCTGGCATCGTATGAGTGATGAGTCAGTGCGTGTGAAAATTAGAAACCGTTAAAGGCTAAAACCCGCCCAATACCCACAAACCGTTGATCCAAAAAGAAGAGACAAGGATTATCTGCCCTCCGGTGCCCTTTCGTGCCTGTTTTTACGATCAAGGTTGAGTTACGTCAACTGCTTAACTATGACCATAGAAGGAGGCACAAGACGGAAGAAGTGGGAGGGCAGACAATCTTGTCCAAAAGAAGACCCATAAACCCTAACCAGTCAGATTAGAGAGAGCTTAGAGCTATATCCATGGCGACAGAGAGCTCGAATTCGAGCGAACGGCATGCCCTACCGGATATGACTCACAAACACTTCTTCGGTGAGCCTTCCTTTTCGATATTTTCCGGTTCGATTATTTTGATTAAACGGATTTCATGGTTTCTGACGCAACTAAGATCACAGTTTTTTTTCCCCCCCTTAATTTGAACATTGAAAGAAATAATTCAACCAGCGACGGAAATCAAAGGAAATGTCTATTTATTTATGAAAAATTGTTATTGGAGGGAAGAACATAAATCAGGATTTGATTTAATTGTCTTTAATCTGTGAATGTCGTTATGAGGGAGTTTCTGTGGGGTGCTGTTGCTGGAGCATTTGGGGAAGGAATGATGCATCCGGTCGACACCGTAAAAACACGCATTCAGGGCCAGGCTATTCTCTCTGCAAGTCAGGTATGATCATAGAGTAAAGAACAATAGATGTAAATTCATGCCCTATTGTGTAAAGCTCAATTGTTTGGAATGGAATCATGTGAATGGGATTTATATTAATATGAATCTTATGTAAGAAAATAAACTTTAAAGTTTTGGGTTGGGCATTTTATTTTCGTGCTAAAATGTTTCATAGCATAGCTGGAAAATGCAATAGTTATTAATTTATTTCGTGTTTGCAGAAACCGAAGAGCATAATGCATATGGTACGAGCAGTCTGGGCAGCCGATGGATTGAGAGGTACATCTTGTTCCTTTCTGAAGCAGTTTTTTAGTTTTCACAATTGACGTCTTAGTCCTATTTGAATTATTTCTCTTTGTCGTAGTTTTGTTATCATAAAATATAAGTCACCAGGCATTTAATCATAAGTTTTGGACTCCGAACCTAGGGATTCATTTTTCTCTTTGTCGTGGTTTAGTGCTAGTGCAGTCTCTGAGTACATGGTTACTTCGTAGAATCATTGTTTCTTAAGTTTGCAACTAATAAGTTCTGTAGGCTTTTATACGGGTATAGCTCCAGGTGTCACCGGTTCTCTTGCAACTGGAGCAACATACTTTGGTGTCATCGAGTCGACCAAAAAGTGGATTGAAGAATCACATCCAAGCCTTGAGGGACATTGGGCGCATTTCATTGCTGGAGCGTTGGTACGTTGTTCTGCAGCTCTCAAACTTGAATCTGATTCATGCTGATTCCATTTGAGTTTCTTGCAATGCAATTGCTGTTAATATGCTGAATTAAATGTTAACAGTATTCATCAATTGTCTTCAGAACTTCAGATTATGTGTAACATTATGACATTTGTGTTTATTCACTGAGGAATTTGATTTAGTTTTTTTACTGGAATCTGATTCAGAGGTCTATGAGTGCCATTTGGATTTATGATCTGCTAAATAGTTCTTGATCATTCATTTGCTTAAGTTGGCCAAATATTCTTATATGCTTGACCTTTTTATCCTGAATTTACAAATTCTTTCTACTTTGACCATGCGGTGTTTGTGTTCTCATACATAGAATTTTGTCTAGTGAACTTGGTATCTGAGTGCTCTTTTCTTATCTGGACGTGAATATTTGTGCTGGTGCTTTATACTCAATGATGTCCAGTTGGCTTTCAGCAGCTAATTGTTGTTGTTATGCTGTTACATATGGAGGCCCATTTAGGCTTTCGGTCGTAGTATTAGAAACTTGAATGATTGTGGACTCTTAAGCCATCGTGTGCCTCAGGGGACTCAAAAAGCATGTATTCCTTCTCTATGTATTTCAGGTGATACACTTGGTTCTGTTGTATATGTTCCATGTGAAGTGATGAAGCAACGCATGCAGGTTCAAGGCACGATGGCCTCTTGGAGTTCTGTTGTCATGAAGGATAATATCGCTATGAAGCCTGGTATCCAAATGTATGGTTACTATACTGGGATTTTCCATGCTGGCTGCTCAATATGGAATGAGCAGGGGCTAAGAGGATTATATGCAGGTTATATCTCTAAATCAATCCCTCTTATCTTTCACGGTGTGATATTTTCCATGTGGTGTTCCCTGCTCCTCCCCTTTTTTCTCGTCCACAATCCATGCATGCACCCAAAGCACAACACTGATAAGCCACAAGTTAGGCATGCATATGCACATACGAATTATGGCCATAATATTCTTGCCTAATTGTGGATTTATTTTTTTTCTTTCATTTGGCAGATACTGGTCTACACTTGCTAGGGATGTGCCTTTTGCTGGTCTAATGGTAGGTTGGGCGGAGATCGCTTGTACATCTCACCCTTAACTTTTGGCTGTTGCTTCTTAATATTGGGAAAATGGGGTCACAAGTTGCAACTCCTAATAACAAAATTTATTCAAGTATGGTCGCAACTCTTAACATGCATTCCCCACGCTGGTTTATTTTTTATTTTGTCTTAAAAATTCAGACATTATCTTTCGATGGTGAATCATATTGATATGCTTTGGGCCTCTAAATGATTAGTTGCCATTGTTTCTGCTGTCGCTTTTTTCCTTAAGAAGTCCTGGTTCTAATTTATTTCCAGTAAAATAATATTGTATCAAAAAATTGATTTCGTGTGTGCTATGCAGGTTTTGTTTTACAAAGGCTTGAAAGATTTGACAGAGTTGGGAAGCAGAAATACATACAGGATCCAAATTTCCATACTAATAGTTCTGTCAAGGGGCTTGCACTAGGAGGATTGGCTGGTGGTATGTACCGTGCTTATCTTTCATTATTCTGTAATTGAGTCCAATAATTAGTTTTTTACCGTAGGGTAATTTAGCTTGCATTGATGTTTCGCACAATATTCGTGTTCAAAATTTGTCTATGGTTTTACTCGTTGCATGGAAGTTAGACGGAGAGAGTAAATGGGTTGTCCGGTTACCATCTAATATTGTATTGAACCTTAGGTACAAAGGCTGGTTGGATGCAATTCGCAGCGTATGGAGGGCCGAAGGTGCACCAGGGATGTTCAGAGGCAGCATCCCCAGGATTGCATGGTATATTCCAGCTTCAGCACTTACGTTTATGGCTGTGGAATTTCTCAGAGAACATTTCAACGAAGGATTGAGCAACGAGAACAGCCGAGAAGTTGCTAGCATGTCAGTGGAGAAAAAGGTATCACCTTTACAAGGAGCCGCTTGAGAAGTAGAAATATATGCACAGATTCTTTTGCCCATCATGTAGTTCTGACGAGACTTTTGTCGTGTTTTCGTGAAGTACGTGTACATACACACGTATAAATTGCATTTTTTCGTTTGGTCATCAACTTTGAAGCCGATGTTAATCCTAACTGGGGTTTTATTCTTTCACAAGCAGTCCAAAACCTCCGGCAAGCGGCCTCATTGTGCGAGTTATCTCCTTGAATGGTGATGGTTGGGTAAAAAACTACTCCCTGAGGACGTTGCTGGCAGTGTAACGGCGGCACCTCCTCTTCCACCACCACCACCACCACCTGCAAGCATCGGGCCAACAGCTTTTAGATAATTTTCTAGAACCGTCGGCTTTTCCATTTTGTAATTTATGTTGTCCCCTGTACTTTGAATGGAGTTTTCATAAGATGCTAAAGAGAAAGAAAAAAAGATGGATATAATGCGCCAGCAAGTACTCTGCCTACATGTGATTTTTTCATCTTCAAAAAGTCGTATTGGTTATTGAACTTATTACAGTGTGTAGCATTGAAATTTTTGAATAATTAAGAATTTCCTTAATTTTTTGCCCGCTTAAACTCTTTATTTTGAATAAAATTTGTAACGGTGTTACACTAAAAAGGGTCTATTCTTCAATGTTTCAACAACTTCATAAAATAATAGATTTATAATTACTGAGTACAAATTTTCAGAAAGGGATCCTCTCCGCATCCATTCCTCCTATTCTACCAAGTTCGGGGATTTGAGCCATAGAATCAGCCATTGCATCAAATTTCAAAAGCCCGGATCCTCGGACTTTGTGGATTGGGAGGAAATTGATCCTTCTTGGTTTTTTTAGGGAACTTTAACAAAAAGTTCCTGGTATTGTTCACTTTAATCAAAAATCACATTTTACTCTAAAAAGTCAATCATGATACTATTCACTTTACCATTTATTGTGTCCTTATCGTTAAAACCCAAAGTTCTTAAATTATTTTCATTAGGTTTTTTTTTTTTTTAGGTCTAATGTCCTTTCCATTGTATTGAGTATTGACCAAGAAACAAAATAATATGACCTTTTCATTGTACAAAATCTCTGTCTAAAAGTCTTAGAACTTTCCCACTTCACATCTCTTTCTCGACTTCGAAGCGCACCACTTCACTTTTCTGTGCTTTCTCCGTCGCCTAGCCAGTGGCCACCACGCACCACCACCAGACGACTCCTGGCGGAGCCACCGCCAGGTCCACCACCACGTCTCGGTCTGGTCGTTCCAACACGCCGCTTGTTTCTTCTTTCTTCGCACCTCAGCCACCACCACCTATCCCTTCCACCACCTCCACACTCCGTCTCCCCCGGCCACCACCCCCGCGGGTCCACGTCTTCTCTCCGGTCATCACTGACTGGATTGGTAAGTCTACTGTCTACAAATGCTAAAATTTCAAAGTAGAGTTTTAATTTGTAAAATTGGGGATTTGCGGATTTAGAGCTTATTTGGATGTGCTTTTAAAATTGCTAAAAACTCTTTTAGAGCTTTCTGCAAGAAGCATTTAAGTCATTTTTCAGAATTTACTTACATTTTTACTAAGAATTAGTTACAAAAACATTATCACTAAAAGCGTTTTCAGTCATTTTAAAAGCACATCCAAACAAACACTTATTTTCGCTTTAAGGAAATTAGAAGGTCAGGGGATTAATTGGCTTGCATCAGAGTTTGTGAATCAGTGAATGAGAATTAGAGAAGGGGATTAATTTTCGGCTTCTCTGTTGTTTGCAGCTTCTGGGTTGTTGCATACGACGGAAGTGCGGGGATACTGTCCATATGGATGCTGAAGATTCTAGTGGTAAGAGGCCCACTTCCTCGAAAAGGAAACGGAAAACCTCCACAGATGGTGCACAGCTAGATTCTCAAACGACTGTATGGGGAGACAAGATTTTGAAGGGTCCATTTCCGGGAGGCCCAGAGGATCCGAGGGTACTTAGGAGCTTCCCAAGTCATGTAGCTGCTGCTATTTGGCATAATGTGGTATGATGTTAATCTAATTTTTACTTCATCATATTATGCATATGTTTTGAGGATCATTGGTAATTCATATTTGTGCTTGTAGGAACGTGAACCCCTTAGGGTGTTCAATCACACTTGTAAGCTTCAAGCATGGAAATTTGAACCATCAGTTTCTAACTGCAAGTTTTGGAGATATATTGATAGCTCAGGGTTGCGACCGCTTATTGATTGCTCATATAGGACATCTAATAAAATTGTTGTATCCGCATTCTGTGAGAGATGGCAACCCGAGACAAATACTTTCCATCTACCATTTGGTGAGTTGACAATCACATTAGATGATGTGTCCAACATACTAGGAATTCCAGTGGATGGTAACTCTGTATCTGTTTGTGATGATGAATTGGACAACTCTGTCCTAGCTAGTCAGTGCCATGATTTATTTGTCACTGCATTAGGAGTTACCGATGATGAGGCACGAGCTGAGATGGGTCGCTTCAGTGGTAGTGCGGTTACACTTGAATGGTTAAGGCAGAGATTTCACAAAGTATCTGATGATGAGTCTCCTGAATTTATAGAGCATGCAGCAAGGGGTTACCTATTATATCTATTAGGTTGCACACTCTTTGCGGATAAAACAGGGAATAGGATATCTCTCATTTACTTGCATTTTCTACGGGACTTGAATAGTGTTGGGGGGTATGCGTGGGGCGCAGCAGCATTAGCGTACTTGTATCGGCAATTAGGACTTGCTTCTAGACTTGGATGTAGGCAAATTTCTGGATATTTGACTTTACTAGAGGCATGGATCTACGAGCATTTTCACAAGATTGCTACTCCCCATGTTAACGTTCATTACCTAGAGGATCAGCCGCGTGTGCGCCGTTGGACCCCACGAAAGGATGCAGGGTTATCTTTACAGCATTTGCAGGCAATGCGACAACGACTCGATCTTATGCATGATACTGAGGTTGTCTGGGATCCATATCATGGTCAGAGAGGACATCATTCTTTACCAAAGATGGCATTCTATACTGGTCTCCTCAAGTGTGTGGATATTGTGGAGCCTTATTATGTTGATAGGGTTCTACGACAGTTTAGCCTTGTTCAGACAATTCCCCGAATGACATATACCCCTTCTCGAGTTCAACGGAGCACTGATACAAAAATGTACAAGGTTGTGCATACGTACTTTGATGGGATTTGGCAAAGGCGTGAATATCACCTATTGGGACCAGAAAACCTTAGCAGGGAGGTTATAGCCCCATCAGATTGTGATCCTGGGTACCACTCATGGTATCGTAAAATCACCCATCCATACGTGCATCACCCTGATCATAGGTCTGCTGCCATACGGCCACATGACATAAATGATCCACATCAGGTAATTACTTAAACGAACCTTTAAAAGTACTTAATTATTATTGTGAATAATAAATATTTATATGCATATTGTTTATGTAGCGCATAGCACGTCTTCTAGCCATCATGGAGCCTATTTCACAGTCTAATCTTCGTTGTGCTTGTAAATTTTACGAGGCATTTGAGCAAGTCCGGTCAATTTTGCAAGGTACTCGGGAAGCCCAAAACCTATAACTCGTTCAACCAAGTGTCATTTAAATATTCATGTGCATATAAAATTGATGCTGGAAGAAGACACTCTGTGTTACTATGTATGCTGCAAATTCCCAGATGAGTTCATGTATAAAAATTTATTTGAAAAGCTTAACATAATTTTAGAAACTTATATGTGCATGTACATACGTATAGAAATGCGGTGATGAAAGAATATTATGTGTAAGCATCGTTTAAAGCCAAGACAATCTAAGTGCTTCCAAAAGACTTTGAGGCCGGTCGCTTAATAATTTTTCAGCAACTAAAACATATCGTGCTGAGAGTTAAATGAATATATATGCATGATAGAATTAAAATGGAATTGTTGTTTTGCTAGTGTGGAATATAATGGTATATAGTTATATTTAGATAATCCGGTTGTTGATATATCTGAATGATATGAATAGACAAAGTATGTAATTTCAACTCTCTTAAAAATCAAGTGTGAGTCGTGCACTATTATTTCTCATCCTTGGATTCTTTGTGTGGCAAGGAGATTTATTTGTATCAATATTCATAAAATTCACATTTAATTTGTATTTCGGTTAGGGTCTGAGGCAGAAATTGCAGCAACAGCAGCAGCAGCTCAAGCAGAACCAGCAACACCTGTTCCATCTGCATCTACAACCCAAAACATTGCAGACCCAGCAGCACCTGTTTCATCCGCATCTGCCACTCAAGACGTTGCAGAACCAGCAGCAGCTCAAGATGTTGCAGAACCTGCAACACCTGTTCCATCTACATCTGCAACTCAAGACGTTGCAGAACCAGCAGCTGCTCAAGACGTTGCAGGACGAGTAGCACTGCCGCTGGTCTTCGGTTCATCGTCTTCCTTTGTCAAAAACTCTGAATCCAAAGACAACCCATTGTCCTTGCCGCCGCCACCTGAAACCCCAATTTTCTGGCCGCCTGACGGAACGCTCAGCCTTGAATGGGTTCGGAACCTAATGTCCACTTTCGATTGGGCTTCTAGAAATCTTGAACCAAACCAATTTCCGGATGTATTTCCTATGGAGGTTTTTGATAGCTTGGTCCTCTGCGCCTTCAATATCCTCCACAAAGAGGCAAATTGCATTGCCGTCGACCAGTTAGGTATGGAATCCACTGTTGTCGTTGTTGGAGACATTCACGGTCAGCTGCACGATCTCCTTTTCCTTCTAAATGATGCTGGATTTCCTTCAGAAAATCGATTATACGTCTTCAATGGCGATTATGTTGATAGAGGGGCTTGGGGGATCGAAACCTTCTTGATTTTATTGGCTTGGAAGGTGTTTTTGCCCAAGAGCGTTTATCTTCTTAGAGGAAATCACGAATCGAAATACTGCACTTCCGTTTACGGATTTGAAAAGGAAGTGTTGACAAAGTATGGAGGAGACAAAGGGAAGGATGTGTACCAAAAATGTCTCGAGTGCTTTAAACGTCTCCCTTTGACATCCATTATCGGGAAATACGTATACACTGCTCATGGTGGGCTGTTTCGCAGCATGGTTGCATACCCCAAGAGATCAAAGGGAAAGAAGAGGAGGAAAATATCTTTCGTTCCTGAACTGAGCAGTAAATTGTCTCTTGGCACGTTTGAAGAATTGAAGAAGGCTCAAAGATCGGTTCTTAATCCTCCGTGGATGGGTTCAAACTTGATTCCTGGTGACGTGCTATGGTCAGATCCCTCCATGGATCCCGGCCTTTCTTTGAATGAAGAGAGAGGCATTGGTTTGCTTTGGGGCCCTGACTGCACTGAGGAGTTTCTCAAGAAGTTTCAACTCAAGGTAATATAAGATGGAATCTGCATTTCTTGGTTTTAGGCTTGAATGTTAGTTTACTTGCATGGTTACATGTTGGAAAACTATATGTTGTGGGATATTATGTCGATGCTATGATCTTTAACAATATGCCTTTTGTTGTCTAATTTCTGGTGACTTGCTTGTTTTAGTTTGTTAAGTGATGCATTCAATTGATAGCGTATTGTGACTTCGAAACATGGCATGCTTTAATTGTAATCTTGAGACAATGCACATTTCTTTTCTAGAACTAAACCTTTGATTAATTTTGTTTACCGGTGTTCCAAGTGCTGTGATGGTTGGATAGCAATTAGCCAATAACTATGTTTCCAATTATGAATTGGAATTAGGTAACTTTTATAACTAATTGGGACAAGTCATTCTATAGAATTTTGAAGGTTCACACGAAGTTGATTGGTTGAAAACAATATTTGACGGATGATCAGTTGTTAACCCTAATACAATGTTGACAACATATAGATTACAACGGCGTATTTTATGTCCTAGTTAAATGATAACTGTTAAAGCTTAGTTATGAAAGCGTGCATAAGGGCATGCAGGTGCTTATGGGTTTATTATTGCTTTGATAGTTTTTAACCACCTTGGCCTCCGGCTCAATAGGTAGATGGTGGGTGGCGTTCGACTATGTCTTCCGTTATAATTTTACTAGTAACGGAAAGAAAATGTCTAACTTTAATTTTTAAATGACTTGCTGCTGTAATGTTTCTAAAGTGCACAGAGGCTGTTGCACTTACGTTTCTCTCTCACACTAAGCATGAGACCATTTCGTACTACCGTCTTGTTACGTTTACTTCCTTTTTTCGTATTTTAATAACTAGTAATAATAATAGAGATTCAATACTAAGATTTGAGTTATTCTATATTGTCAAAACCACAGTTGATTATTAGATCGCATGAAGGCCCTGATGCACGGGACAAGAGGCCAGGTCTTGGTGGAATGGATAATGGGTTCACCATAGATCACACTGTGGAGTCAGGGAAGCTCATTACTTTGTTTAGTGCTCCAGACTACCCACAATTTCAGGTTTGTTTAGGATCTTTTGAGATTAGTATTCGTTGTGTTCGTAGTTTTGCCAAATTGCGCTGCAACGTTTGCTTGATGCATGTATGGTTATGTTGATGGGGTTTTGCATGTTTGCTTCTAATATCCGAAATTCAGTTATATTAATTATTAACATTGGTAAGCTCTATAGGTTTGAAAGGTTTGTGATAACAAGATAGTAACAGAAGTAAAACAGAATGAGCACTTTCTTTTAGCCTTGTAACCAGAGATATCGAAGATGGTAATTGGATATCAAAGATAGTAAGATAGTAACTGGATGATTTCACCCGTGAAACTTCTGTACAGAAATCGTTTGCTTAATAGAAAAAGAGCATATATAAGGTAAGGTACTTGAACCCGATGAACAAAGAATCAATATATAAAACTGAAATATATAGATGCAGCACGTGAAATGTGTTTCTATGTGTCTAAATGTATAGCTATTGACTATTTGTAACTAGTCCGTCTCCCGAGTTATGCTGTGATCCTTTCGTAGCTCTTGATTGAGCTTTCAATTTCATCTAAGTTTGGTTTTACTTGCGGATTTTATGAAATATTTTATGCCCCTGTTTTCGCATTCTGTAAATTGACACCAATCTGTTGATGCAAATACAGGCAACAGAAGATAGGTACAGAAATAAAGGAGCTTACATCGTTCTGGAACCCCCTAATTTTGACGATCCTGTTATCCACAGCTTTGAAGCAATCACTCCAAGACCTCAGGTACTTGTTTTTTACTGATCCGAGATTTCATAAAATCCCTGATAAGTTTTTTGTTTCGTTTCATAAAAATATGTTCATACTCGCAGGCAAATCCCTTTTATGACTTTGAAGAAGTGGCTGATTCTGATCAAGAGTTGGACTTTGCATCGCCATCGATGGAGACTAGCCCGTGAAGTCCCCGGTCACCTGTTTTCTGATGGTTTGTTCATGATTTTTTGATGCGTTTCTCCATTTTGTAAACTGCATTTTCTTTTGCCTTTGCCAAATGCCATTTCAAAATGCAGAGCAGCATCTTCAGACAAGGCAGTATCATGGCAATCTTTTGGTTCATCGTCCCCATCAATGAAAATTAGAATACAGATGCCTTTCTATATTGATCCGACTTGTACGTTAACTTGTGTCGTTGCTTTAGAAACTTACAGCTCTTTTAGATGTGCTTTTAAAATGACCGAAAGCACTTTTGGTGAAATTTTTTTTAGAACTAATTCTTAATAAAAATGCAAGTAAATCCTATAAAAACACTTAAAGTGCTTCCTGGAAGAAGCACTTAACTTGTGCTTCTTGCAGAAAGCACTTCAAGTGCTTTTGGAATGTAAAAACATTTTCTCAAAATACGCTTTTAGTTATTTTGAAAGCACATCCAAACGAGCTATTAGTTATGATTAACTCGAATAACACAAATTCGACTTTGGACGAAGGTTATATGTACGCTCCATGCGTCGCACATTTTCGAGAATTAATATGAATTTACAGATTCCTTGCTAAGCAAGATCAAAGTTTAAATAGACCGGTTAGGTTGTATAATCCCATAATAAACTAATCAACATTAATATCCGGATGTTCAAATGAACATATGGAAGCTAATTGGCCTGATTGAGGTTGGTTTGAAAATAAAAAAAATAGAAAAGATAGAATCGGTAAGATCATAGCGATTTGGTTAGTCTTAGTGGCCATTACGAAGATAGCGACCTCCTTTTCGAGACATTCGGTACTACTCTATCGATCGTATCCTATTCTAATTTATTTATTTATTCGTTTTTTCTTTGAATTTTTTTTCCTATTTCACTTTATTTGAGTAACCACTCTTAGATTCAAATATATTTAGATTTATATTGTTTTCAAGTGTATAAACATGGATTATAAGACTGAAAATGCAGTTTGTAGAACATGTAGATGATAGTTTGGTGTTATGGTAAGAGAAAATAAAATAAAATTTTAACAAGCAAAAACATAGAAAATAAATAAAATTAAAAAGGAGGAGGATCGGTAGTGTGGAAATTTTTTGGAGTTGACATGTGAACTTCTACCAGCAAATAACGAGAATGCCCTCATTAATTGGCAAAACCCACATTTAAGCCACGCACAACACTCTTGGGGCACGTTTGTTACACCTCCTTAGGAGGGATTGACTTGGACTACCTTAAGTAGGACTATAATCCTACGTTTGGTAGGTTGTGGGACTAAAATAAATGGGACTCGCCTCGACTACGAGTCCCTGCGAGGCATGCTAGCCGGTCTTCACGAGTCCCCCCAAAAACCACGGGATTAGCTAGGAACTTCGCTTCGTTCTGCTTGATTCACCTCATCGACCTCGATTTCGACGGCATCTCTCTTCGTCCTGCTTGATTCACCTCCCTGCGAGCCCTTCTGTGAGTTCTGGGCTTCTTCCTCCTCCTTGCGAGGGTTCTTCCACCACCAACATCAACCACACAAAATCCCCCATCTCATATTTCCCACCACCAACCATCACCCACAAAAAATCCCCAATCCCATATTTCCTGCCGCCACCATCGCCATGGACGAGCCATCCGAGAAGCTCCAGAACCTCAAGTCGCTGAATTCTCTGCCAGCAGCAGGTGGAGTCGCTGGTGCAGGGCAAGGACCGCCAGCAGCAGGTGGAGTCGCTGGTGCAGGGCAAGGCAGATTTGGAGTCCGAGGAAGATTTGGGTGGACAAAAAAAAGAGAGAGGAAGATGAAATGGTAGAGAAAGAGGAGAGGGGAGGGATGCAATGGGCGGAAAAAAAAGAGAGAGAGGAAGATGTTCTAGAAAGGAGATGAAATGGCAGAGAAAATGAGAGGGGAGGGTTGGCGGACAAAACAACGAGAGAAGATAAAAGGAAAATGATAATTTAATAATAAAATATTAGTATATATAGATTAAATTAATGATAAAATATTGTAAATATAAATTTAATAATAAAATATATTAGTCCTGTTTTTTAATCCGACACTGCACCAAACGCTTCACTAAATCAGTCCAGCTTAGTCTAGTTTAAGCCAGTCCAGTTTAGTCCTTGAAACTAGTCCAGTTCGAGATAGTCCGGTGCAACAAACGCACCCTTGAAGACTTAAGTTGCTGACTATAACCTCATCAAGCACTTATGCCCATGACAAGGAGAAATTCAAAGGTATTAAAGATATAATTCATCACTAAAACTTGTCTTTAAACTTTTCCAATTGAAGACTAACTCAACCAAGCAATGAATGAGAATCCCATCCAATCTTGGACACTACAAGATAATCCCAATATATATTTTAACTAATAATATCTTCGGAATAATTCTTTCCTCTTCCATACAATGGATGACACACCACCACTTATGGAGATGCTTACCAGTCGAGCTCTTCCACCCCAAATGGCTAACCAAAACCGCCCTAGCAGGTTGTAGATTTGACGAACACCTTCGTGCAGCAGACGACCTTGGTAAGTCAGCTTCTGGAGCACATCGAGACGTAGCGCACTCCTAACAAGGTGCCCTAAAGCTGAGTCAGTTTCAAGTGTATGTAGAATTAGTTTTGTAACATTTTAAATTTGATCGATTTCCTTCTCTCATTACTTCTTACTTCTTAGTTACCACAAAAAACAACCACTCCCTCTTTGGATACAAAGACATAAGCTAAATTCTCAATGCATATGTAGCCATTAACAACTCATACATATTATGTAAACCTAACACCCTTGTGTTTTTAGCATGCGAGAGCCTTAACCTAAGACGTTTGACCCCTCCCCAACTTTCTTAGTACCTAATCGAAACCTTTAAGAAGTGTTTTCGCAGTTAAACTTTTATACCAAAACCAAACCTTTTAAGGTGTAACAAGTCACCCCAACATTCCATCCAAATGAGACATTTTCCTTAAGACTGTTTGTTCTATACAAGCGATATTTGGTATTACGACAATCTATGAGAAGAGAAATTTGAACTTAAATATAAAAGCGAGGACATTGACTTAACTAGCAATACGAATGTAACAAAAATTAAAAATACGTCACACCCCCTAGAAAATTTGAAATCGGACCCTGAGTTTTTGGATTTGACAGGCCGGGCCTATTGGGCCAAAGTCCGAGTTTTTTCCTTGCTTAATTGCGTTAGCGTCAGCACTCAGCAATATACAAAATACGACGTCGTTTGAAACCTCCACCTCGCACGCGCATCGCATCCTGCTGTCAACGAAGCGAGAGAAAGTGAAAAGTGAAAACGCACGCCTGAGAGCTCGCAGCTGTATTTGTTACAAGCCGAAGCATTCGGATCCCAACTTCCAGTTTCTAGGGTTTCCAATCTCCGATCACCACCAATCCCCAAATCCATGGCGATGGCTGCTCTCAGACGAGAAGGGAGGCGTTTCGCCCCTTTGATCTCTCCCCATCCGATGGCCGCCGTCCGATCCTCCATCATCCCAGCCGAGTACGCTCTCTATCCAAATCCGCCGTTTTTTATTTACTTTTATTTCTTATCATTTTGCTTGCATTATAGTTTTTCATTGCCGTCTGTTTGGATGCCGAGAAAAATTGAGTAATAGATAAAGGAAAGTTTAATTTAGGATGGATTTTGGTATATATATATGTATGAAGAAATGAAAGCTCAGCTTAAGTTAGGGAGTGATTTAATTTGTTTGTGCAAAGTGAGAACCTTTAAGATTACTGAATTTTTTTCGGTGAATAACAAGTGGATAATTGAATTTGTTAAAAGGATACTACTGCAGATGTTAGGATTGTATGGCAGGCTGAAAGTAATAATTCACACGAATCCGCCAATCCGTCATTAGAATTTAGTGAGCGAAAATTATTGATGTTGTTTGGGTTTACTTTGTTTGGATAGCGCTGAGCGATATTGTTTAGATTGACAAGAGAAATGTAGGAGGGGATATGTTTGGTGCATCTCTGAAAGTCAACTATAGTTCTGGATCATCATGCTCGCTTGATTTCATTTCCATGTTTGGATGTCTCGCTATCGTTTTTTGTTGCTTCCGCATTTCGACAACTAAATTACTTGGTTTGGTGCTTAGGGAGCAAGTACCTTTGGGAGTGCGCTCAATTTCAACTCAAATTGGTAAGAACAATCATCATGAATTAGTTATTATTTTTTTCCTATTTTATTTCTGTTTTCCCTGCTTTGCAAACGGTGATGTGGTTCATTGGTAATACTTTGTATATTCAGTTAGAAACCGGATGAAGAGTGTGAAGAATATCCAGAAGATCACAAAGGCAATGAAGATGGTTGCAGCCTCAAAGCTCCGAGCAATTCAAGTTAAAGCTGAAAATTCTCGTGGCCTGTGGCAGCCTTTCACAGCACTTCTTGGCGACAGTCCCAGTATGTTTAACAGCATAATCTTCATAGGCCAAGTTATATAAGTTATTTGTTTCTTTACATTTTGCTTATTATTGTTAAGGACATGGCATCTTTGACAGCATTACTCAATCTAGTTGCATAGTTTTGTTGCAACCAGTTTTTTCTGAAATTTTTCTTTATTTTAGAATACTTAATGGACTGTTCTGCTTGCCAAGTCCTAGCGCAACTGAGGAATTGAAATTACTCTGCTCCCTTTATTTATATGTGGGTACTTTACGGATATTTATTTTAATTCTTTGTCCCCCAACCCACCCCATTTTCATTGCTTTGTACTTGTGCACATTGATATTCTCGTATTTGTCCCCCAGTTCGCCCCAGTTTCATTGCTTTCTACCTGTGCACATTGATATTCTTGTAAGTTCCCTCATTGTGTATTTTATTTTTCCATGATAGGTGTCAGCGTTAAGAAGGATGTTATTGTTACCATCTCTTCCGACAAAGGTTTATGTGGTGGAATTAACTCTACCTCAGTCAAGATAAGCAAGGCCTTCCGCAAGTTGAACGCTGGTATTTCTTGGAAGTTGATTGTTAGTCTGATGTCTGCTAAGTTTATATTTTATGCACATTAATATATATTTTTTTCCATGAAACTATTGTAGGTCCTGAAAAAGAGACAAAATATGTCATTTTGGGGGAAAAAGCAAAGGCCCAGTTGATTCGTGACTCTAAGAAGGACATTGAGCTATGCATAACTGAGTTGCAGAAGAACCCTTTGAACTACACCCAGGTTGGTATGTTTTGAGTAAAGAGAGCCCATGTGCTTACCTATGCGGTGTTTGCTTAAAGAACCACAAACACACTTGACCAACCTATGTGGGACATTAGCAACGTATTGGTTTTATTTTGTTTTTCATATTTTCAATATTTAATTGCGTTTCATACATGACATAGAGTCATATCCAGTAAAAATCGTTTATCATGTCTTGTCAACCTTTGGTGTTAAGTTTTTTGACATTATTTTAAGCTTTGTTAAGTTTTTTATTGACATTATTTTGAGCTTAATTTCTCAATGACTTATATTTTTGTTCAAATTAATTGTTATGCAATGCATTGTCAAATTTTCATTAAAATTTCAATTTGACCTTACGATCATGATTATTGATCAAATGTTGATTTTTTTGCTGTCAATATTGTAAATGCAGAGCACCTCCAAGAGCTTTTTAAATTAGCTAGTGAACAGTATCAAAAGTTAATTTAGTTACCCAATTGATCTTAACATCTACAACAACACCTCTATACTCTAACGAACGCCTAATGTTTTATTAATTATTCAAGTTTTGAAAAAAAAATTATCTATTAATAACCACTATAGAGCTTTTAGGAGGGGGGAGTGCTTGAGTTTTAATGTTCTCTCCTCCTCCCTAAACTTAAAGAGCCACTATTCATTTTGTTAAGTTAAAGAGCCCTTTAAAGAGTCTCTTGGAGATTAATTTCCTTAGTTTGGCTCTCTAAACTAGCTTTCCAAGAGGTTTAAAGAGCTTCTTGGAGATGAGAGCACACGTTTTTTTATACTTGTCGATGCCTATTAAATTCTCTTGGATGAGTTCTCTTGCCAGGTTTATATGGACAAAGTTATTAATGTGGCAGTTATACATTATATTAATAATCAAATGTATGAGTTCTGACCATCAATTGCGTGTACCTTTTGTCCTTTCAGGTATCTGTCATAGCTGATGACATTTTGAAAAATGTTGAGTTTGATGCTTTGAGAATCATCTTCAACAAGTTTCAGTCAGTCGTCTCATTTCTGCCAACTGTGTCTACAGTATTATCTCCCGAGGTAATAAGTATGCTTCAGTCCAATTATTTTACCTCTTTATCACTCATATTCATGTTCTGTTGTATTGGGTATTTGATACGATGTTCATATAGATTGTGGAGAGAGAGTCTGAAGCCGGTGGAAAGCTTGGCGACCTAGATTCCTATGAGATTGAAGGTGGTGAGACAAAGTCAGAGATACTTCAGAATTTGGCAGAGTTCCAATTTTCATGTGTAAGTCTGTTCATTGAGGTTAGAGACTTTGTATTTTTTTATTTGTTGATCAAACCACTGACCTGGTTGGACACTTAACGTCAAATTGCATTTGTTGCGGTATTGTCCTAAGATTGACACTTTTGGTTTTGGAGTAGTCTCTATAAGTGAATATATTTTATTACCTTTTAATTTCATACTTTGGGCAGGTCATGTTCAATGCGGTGTTGGAGAATGCTTGCAGTGAGCAAGGAGCAAGGATGTCTGCCATGGACAGCTCAAGCAGAAATGCTGGAGAGATGCTTGATCGCCTCACACTCACTTATAACAGGTCCCCTTATCCTCCACCCCCAATTTCTTCG